AATGGGTTGTACAGTAACTTGCACGTATACGTGACGGCATTCCCCATGACAAATTCAGCCGACCCAAGAAGCGTATTTGAGGCCACGAATGACACCTACGAAGTAGATTCGATCAGCAGCACATTAAGGAACCAACATCTGCCTAATTGTACATAGGACACAGATTCACACGATGATGACATACAATATAGAGTACAGCGCGTTTGCGGGAAGGCATAGACGAATTTATAAAAGTAGTAGAAATGCATTCTACCTACGATCAGGAAATGTACGTCAACTTGTGATTAACAAAGGTTCAGTGCTTAGAATATTCTTAATTTACTAATGTGCCCAAATACAAGGGACTACCAAAGCAAACGGCACTACATGTATTTCGCGCAGCTGTTTTGTAAGACACTTCCACAAACATTTCACTGAATAACGTTTTCTCTTACCAATACACTACATGTATTTAATAAATATTCACGGAAAGGGTCATATGGCTTACTACATGTGTAGCAAGATAACATTTTCTCGGAGTGAGAGAAAATACTATCCTTTCGAGTACTCCCGGCCGTCTCCAGTTAACAGTTAGCTTGCCTGTTTGGAGACTTGATAAAATCTTCTCAGGCCCTATGTCACGTTGGAAGGAGGACATAGGAAAGTAAAAACAATGTGTAGCCTTTTAATTTCCTAAGAAATTAGAACATAGTAGATAACTAAATTCAAAGTCTACAGGAACAGGGCAAAATTTAATGTAAATGTTTGGATCGAAGTCACTGCGAGAAGCCACTGACGATCTGACTCCCTCCCAGCTGCGACATGAGGCAGCAGAATATCGGCCAAACAGGTGGATAGGCTTTAAGCTAGTGCTTGCGCTGTCAGTATGATAAGCAATAAAAAAAATGGTAATAAGAACAGTTTTCATGATAAACACCCCGATGGTTCCGCACTGACCTCCAGTCAATTTAAGAAAAATCCAAAAAAATGGAAAAGCAGCCGCAAAAAAAACTGCCACTGCATAACAGACTGCCTTTTCGATCTCAGAAATCGCAGTAAACATGTCAACAGTCACCATTTTCTCGCATTATTTGCATTAAAAATTTCAATAACTAAGTAAGCCTTAATAAAGTCGTTTGTCAACTCAAACTACTTTCCGCAAAATGAAAGGATGAGGACAATTTAAGAGTCCTTAAAACCAAAACTCGATTACTTTTTAACAGCAGGACTATATTTTTTTATCTGAAATCGTTGAATGGAAAGCGTGGAGTTATCTAAGTTAAAGCTGTACAACATATCTGACGATAAAATTCAAAGTTTTAGGATGTTTGAGCTTGTGGTTGGTGGGATGACACTTCGACCGTCGATTTCAGGTATGTTCACCGACTGCTCCACAACAGGAGCATTTTCAGCGTGTATCAGCATGTTCAAGACATACTTATGTGGTTAGGAGCGCTAGAGGAAGATAAGTTATCCCGAACTAACGTTCCGTCAGAAGAAAGGCTAAAAGTGTTCATTCTCATAACAAATTAAAGCGGATGGAGGGAAGAAAAGTATTTTAAAGATCAAGAAATTCAGAAGGTAGCCAAAGGATGATTTAACATCAAGCACAAACATGCTACTTGTGAAGGAAACGCATAATTAGGCCGACTGAAATCTTTATTACAAAAACCAGGAAAAGTAAAGACCGGTTGCAAAGAAACATATTGAGTTTCTCCATTTTGGAGTACTAAACACTATATTGGGTAGGTTATTTGAGATTGTGGGCCGGGAAAAAAAACAACAGCAAATTTGCATTAGGTGTGGTTACATATGATATCTAATTAAGAAGTCGTTGTATCAGGGTACCTTCGACATACGCGACTCTGCGACAATACAAACAAACTATCGAACACGGGTAGTTGCCGTAACAGAGATTTATGCACCAGCGACACAAAAACCAACACGTATTCGGCATAGGCGGAGACGGAAGCGAACGCATCGCACTATAATTTGGTTGCGAAAAAACATCTGCTGTTTCAAAATTGAGACGCCAAAATACATATCCCACTGACTACACATAGCTCTCGTGAGAAAAGCTTGGCTGTGCATAGCAGTTTCTCGAAATTTTACTGAAAGAAAAGTGCCTGTGTGTTGAATTATTGAAACTGCAAGCAACCGACGTTGCCTAACAAAACAGGCATTTATTGCTTAAGCAAGTAAAACGAACAGGGTTTGGCGTCAATGCAGCCTCGACTTGCGCAAAATCTATCATTGTGTAGTTGGTTGGTTGGTAGCCCATGTTGGATCAGGGGTTCCCGCCGGAGTC